TAAACACCTCAATTTTCTAGGAATTATCAGATCTACAGACGCTGTAATTACTAGCCAATCAAGAACTTTTTATTTTATAAATGACTCATTTATAATTAATCTTTTCTCTTCAAAATTTACATACCTAATAATAATTGAAGTTTGTTCCTTATGGGAAATATCAGGAGTACAATCCATTTGGATACTATAGTATGTGGCTGCTTTTATATCGTCTTTAATTAAAGGACTTCATCTCCTAACGCAGAAATAATTTGTTCTTGTCATCTATGTGCTAAATGATGCACAATTCTGTTTATATGATACATTAGAACAGAGTCGTATTTACTTGAAACTACGACTATATGCAAATATACATATAATTTTATATGGCCGACGGCCACAGTATTATTTTCATTTCTTAACGCGGGCTATATGGTATTGAGATTTTTTTTTTTTAAAGTCGAATTTAGTCGGGAGTTTCCCGAATCAAATAACAAAAACTAAACATTTGCATCACCGAGAATTAGTTTGAAGATTGTCGAAATTCAGAGATTACAATAATAATGTTTACGATAAAATGTACTTTTCGTCATACAACGATAGGAATATTGTCAAGTTTTCTTGTGCATTCTTGACAATGTTAGGGCCCCCTCAATCGTGGGGCCCCGGTGCACAGCATCCGCCGCACCCCCCCGATGGCCGGCCCTGTGTATATTTAAATATAAATTTGTATATGCTTATTCCCAATGGAAGCACTGTATTGTTGAATATGAGATAGCCTCCATGGCAAAAATATTTAAATCATATAAAGCAGCCAGATTATATGCATTCGCGCATGCATTTTACAGAGCACCAACCTCTCGCAGTTTAGCTGGTGGATGCTACACACCAAAATATCATATAATGCTTCCAATAATTCTATCCATTAGCCACTTATAGGAAGCTATTTGACTAAGTGGATTGTCATAAAAAGTAAAGAATATTCAATATTATTTTTATGTACATTTCTTTACAAAGCTATATTTAATTATAATTATATTGACTGATTTTCAAAAATAAAATCTTTAGAATTTTTATCACTTTTAGATATTATGGAAAACAATTTTCTGAAGCAAGTTTTAATTTTTTAAATTAAGTAAATTTTATGGAGAATTTTTTTCATTTATCTAAATAATGTAGTGAATTGCAATATTTATATTCATGTATTCATGTCCAAACTATATTGGCAAGTCACTCTTAGATATAAAAAATAATATAATTAATGACAATCTGAACAAAAACATACTAAAAGAATTATATGATTTAATATCATTAATTTTTATGGTACCGTCTACCAGTGCATCTGTTGAGTGCAGTTTTTCACCCATGAAGCGAATCAATACATCTGCAAGGAACACTCAGTCGGAGGAAAAATTGTCATCCTCAGCATTGCTTTCAATAGAAAAAGAGCATTTAAATACTTTGACTGAATTGACGACAAGCGATTTTTATGATAAAGTAATTAACAACTTTGTGGGGAAATATTTCCAAATAGAGTTAGTTTATCAAAAATAATAAAAATAAGTTCTTATGTCTTTGTTTTGTGTCAATTATCTATTTTAGAATTAAAATAAATAAACTGTTTATTTTTGTCATTTCCAGTATTTGTTTAAAACTTTCATGGAAACACAGCTTCCCTATCATCAAATGTCATGGCACGCCACTGCTATAGACAATCATCTCACAAAAGAAAAGAGTGAAAAAGTGACTCTCCTCATCTCCATCCGAAAATATATAGGTTAGAGGTTACACTGTGGTGTCCTCTGCATTACAATGCCAATGACATCAACAGAATAGTTTTGAAATCATTCTCTGGTGAAAGAATGCTGTTGCTTCCAGTGACCTCATCTCAACTTTTCTATTGCAATAAAATTCCATTAGTGAGTAATTGATCAATCACCACTTTAGATTGCTAATTTTCATATGTTAATGCAGCTGTTAACATAATCCGATAAACAACAGGTGCCTCGTAAATGTTTGAAACCATTTTTTGACACTCATTGTTCCAGTTCTGTTTTTTGCTTTTTTCCCTTGTCTACAACACTTCTCAAGTAAATCCATCTAATAGACAGTATTCGTAGAGTACACTGTGTCTTTTCATATGTGTATTTTGAAATGTTTGTATAACAATGTATTTTTGCCTGCACAAAAATTGTTGCCATGAATGTAAGTGATGGCAACAACCCTACATATATGATATACAGTATTAGTAGTGTATAAGTGAGATATAATGAAAGCTATTGTTTTCATTATATCATATTTGATTTCAAAGAATAATTTTCCTCTGATTTTACTGTACATTGAAAATTATACTGCATTATAGGTTTTAGGATTTGTTCAAGTTGTATACATTTTAATATTTTTGAATGAATTTAAGAGTTTTATTTTTCTTATTTTTAGGGAAGTTAACTTCAGAAGAAATGCAAACATTATGGGATGTTAAATCTCAAGTAGCTAGATTATATGAAGTACTTCATGTGGACCAATTTCAGTTGGAGAGGGAAAGAAAACTTTTATGTGAACTGGAACTATTAAAACAAGAATTAGAACCTTTAGAAGCAGTATGTATGGATTTATTATTTCTATCTAATTACAAATGGATATGAAATTATTGGTGAAAACATATTACTTATTACAACCTTATAAAACTCTTAAGGAGTTTTATAAGGTTGTAATTTTATATATGCTCTTAATTTTGACTAGTTTATTTGAAAACATACAAACAGTTAAACTTTTTCTACTGGTATAACATTTAAATTAACATTTAAATTAACATTTAAATGTTATACCAGTATAACATTTAAATTAAGTAAAATGTATATATCATATCTAATATTATGAATAGAATTAAATATATTTTATCTTAAATGAATAGTTTTAAATTTAAATTTAAATTGAAGTTATATTGCAATGTAGCTAAGGCTTCTACCTGCCACTTTGAAAACTCAAGTTTGAATTGGATCAGACTCTCAAGAATCTGTGTGGTCTGGCCCAGACAAAAGCATAGATTTGTTCAAGCAGCATGGAAAATATATGGATCGGTATGGGGTCCTAAGAATATAAATGGACCAGTCCTACTTGAAATTTGGATATTTCCAATTTCTGATGCCCCCTCCACCCCTGGATCCAAATATGTCAGGCTCCTTTCTTCATGAAGTCATGATAAACCTATATTAAAGGGTTTTAAAAATATATCAAATTAGATTTAATAAATTACATTACTATTATAAATTTAGAGATGATAATGCATTCAAAATAATAATTAAATATAATAATAATTAATCAATACATTACTCTTGACTTCTCATAACTACAAAGATTAACAAAATACAAATCATGTATTATATTATTAAAAAATAATAATCCTTCTTAGATGTTTTGTATTTTTTTTATATTCAGGGACTCTTGTCATAAGTCAAATATAAATAGTAATGGAAATAATGGGGCACAGTTTTCAAGACCACACATATGGCCACCATGTATGCATTATCATTAGTGAAGTTTACAAAATTGCAGATTGATAGAGAGAGATTTGGAGTGCCACAGTTTGTCTATTTGCAATTCCATTGTCAAGAGAATGCAACCAGAATAAGATAGAATAGTTCTAAACATGTAGAATACCTCGTATTTGGCATCTCAGATTTTCCTAATACAAGTTGACAAGAACTGAAAATGTTAAAGGGGGACACTCTCGTCAATTGACAAAGCAGAAAATAAATTAATGATTAATGCTTAATAAAATATGTGGCACTATTCATTTTAAAAAATACATTTTTATTTTCTTTTAATAAATTTAGGAAAATTACATGGTTAACATCAATACTTATTCAGTGTTATCATTGCAGCTAAAGTCTCCATCAAAAATTCAGATTCATTGCTAATCTAAATATTATTACAAATGGGACCTTAGAGAGATGAGATGGGGTTCAAATCAATCACACAAATATGGTGTTCTTCTCTTAATGCCAATAAAATAAGTTACTTTACAAATACAATGATATGTTTAGATTCAAAAAGTTTTATTTAATTTAAACTTTCTCAATCACTTTCATACATGTGTGACCTTAGGATTGACACCTCTTTGATGATGACACCACTGTGTCCCAGTAGACAGACACAGAAGCTGTTAGGGTGATTTATTTTCATATAAACATCAACTGAACAAATAGACACCCACAACTACCATAAATAATCAGGCTATATTTTGAAAATAATAATTACGAATTACAAATGAATTTGGCACTAGAGGGACATTAGGCACTCTTACTGTTTTTACAAAATATATGTGGTCTCATTATACCCGTCTCTTCCCCATTTTGAGGTAGTCGTACTTACAATCACTCTGTTGATTGAGAATGGTACTCCATACTGCAGACACTGGGCTTAAGGGAAACTCTTTTATTAGTTACTGAAAATAACTGTTTTTGTTTCAATGGTAGTTTTTATTTACAGAAACAGGGAGTGCCTCATCTCTTTCAACTATCTTAGCTGTGTTAGTTATTAGAGCCATAGAATTCAAAGTGTTTTGATCCTCACTTTGTATACATTACCCCCTTCTATATCTGTGGTATGTGGATGATGTGCTGCTCGCATGGGATGGCTCGGAGGATGAGTTACTATAATTTATACTAACTTGAATAATAATAAAATTAAATACAGTAGATCTTGTCCACTTTATGGTGTTCTATTTTTATAAATGGTATATATACCATATTATGTTTTATGAATTTTTATACTTAACTGCTATATTTTATGCTGGCCTTTCCTACATGGTATTATATAATTCAAACTTTATTTCAGAACATGGAGTCTTGATTTATGATGAAAATTGTAACTAGTACCCATGGAAAATTAGACTATGAATTGTAGAAAACTATTGTTAAATAAGTCATCTTAAGACAGCTTACTTATAGATTTCCACAAATTGATTAGTTTATAAATAAGAAAAATATATATACTGTATATTTAAAAGATGTATACTAGTAGTAATTTAGTCATTATTACTGCATTTTTGTGATTTTATTCTGTGACAGCATCCACAAAAAATTACTAAAATAGAAATTAAACATTTCCATAACCCAAACTCACCCCACTGTATTCTCTGTAACTATGGAACAGCTATTGATCCATAGGTACAATATTGTAATTGCAATTTAAAACTGGAGTATAAACCACCAGCCACATAACCTGCACCTCTTTTCAAATTGTCTTTAAAACATGTGTTAACATGTGTAATTATTTTTTAACTGTTATATACATAAAATTAAAATAATAATTTGTTATGTTTTATTTTCAGCAAAAAGAAGGTTTAATGTCTGAAGCTAAAAAACGTACAACAATACTCTCGTGGTTGGGCCTTGGATTGATGGGTGTTCAGTTTGGAATCCTCGCACGTCTAACTTGGTGGGAATACTCTTGGGATATAATGGAACCTGTTACTTATTTTATAACATATGGTACTACTATGGCAATGTATGCATATTTTGTTTTGACACGGCAGGTAAGACTTTTTCTTTTATGGAATATAAAAATTTTTGCATGCTATAAATACATTTTTATACATTAACTTTTGATGATGTGTAATTTTATATACCATTATTAGAAAAATTTAATAGAATTCGCGTAAGTTTCTTACCAAATTGAAATATATAATCATAAAATCTTATTATTTTACAATACATTCAGAGCAAATCCTTTCTAATTCAAAGAGCAAACTCTTGTAAATTTAATGTGTATATTTTATAGACTTGGTGGTTTCTCATATCATTATTCTATATTAAATAGATAAAATTTTTGATAACTTGGAGTGGAAAGGATAGAGAAAAATTTTCAAGTTAATGAAATCTTGAGTTACAAATACTACTATTATTTTAACCGCTTTGAAATCATCATGTTTTATAAATGATATAGTTTCTAGAAAGCTCTTTAAAAGCTTGAGCTTCTCTGGCATCCCTATATGTAAGGAGAGCAGAATACAGTGAACTCCTGTATAATGCACTCCTCTATAAAGTAAATTCATATAATGCAACAAAAAAAAATGTAAAACAAAAAAACAAAAACTGCACACATATAAACTGGAACTGTAGTACTCGAAGAAATAACACCTAAATTAGAATGCGGCACCATTCGATAAATAGAACTGTTTTTTGTATTTGTACCTGATCGGGGCCAATAAACTGTGGCCGAAAGTATTTGACCAGTAAAATTTTTTACTTATTTGCTTGAAATTGTGTTTAGGTGTTATTTCTTTGAAAAAAATTGTAACTAGTACTCATACAAAATTTTAATTTTGTCATCCAGAGGTGTGTGTATATGTATATATATATATACCTCTGGTATATAAAAAGAAATAAATCCTATCAAGACAAATACAAGGAGTGCTGTACAATATGGGGATACATTCTGTGTTGTTATAGGAAATCATGATAACATGATTTCCTATAACAACACAGAATGTATCCCCATATTGTACAGCACTCCTTGTATTTGTCTTGATAGGATTTATTTCTTTTTATATACCAGAGGTATATATATATATACATATACACACACCTCTGGATGACAAAATTAAAATTTTGTATGAGTACTAGTTACAATTTTTTTCAAAGAAATAACACCTAAACACAATTTCAAGCAAATAAGTAAAAAATTTTACTGGTCAAATACTTTCGGCCACAGTTTATTGGCCCCGATCAGGTACAAATACAAAAAACAGTTCTATTTATCGAATGGTGCCGCATTCTAATTTAGGTGTTATTTCTTCGAGTACTACAGTTCCAGTTTATATGTGTGCAGTTTTTGTTTTTTTGTTTTACATTTTTTTTTGTTGCATTATATGAATTTACTTTATAGAGGAGTGCATTATACAGGAGTTCACTGTATTCTGCTCTCCTTACATATAGGGATGCCAGAGAAGCTCAAGCTTTTAAAGAGCTTTCTAGAAACTATATCATTTATAAAACATGATGATTTCAAAGCGGTTAAAATAATAGTAGTATTTGTAACTCAAGATTTCATTAACTTGAAAATTTTTCTCTATCCTTTCCACTCCAAGTTATCAAAAATTTTATCTATTTAATATAGAATAATGATATGAGAAACCACCAAGTCTATAAAATATACACATTAAATTTACAAGAGTTTGCTCTTTGAATTAGAAAGGATTTGCTCTGAATGTATTGTAAAATAATAAGATTTTATGATTATATATTTCAATTTGGTAAGAAACTTACGCGAATTCTATTAAATTTTTCTAATAATGGTATATAAAATTACACATCATCAAAAGTTAATGTATAAAAATGTATTTATAGCATGCAAAAATTTTTATATTCCATAAAAGAAAAAGTCTTACCTGCCGTGTCAAAACAAAATATGCATACATTGCCATAGTAGTACCATATGTTATAAAATAAGTAACAGGTTCCATTATATCCCAAGAGTATTCCCACCAAGTTAGACGTGCGAGGATTCCAAACTGAACACCCATCAATCCAAGGCCCAACCACGAGAGTATTGTTGTACGTTTTTTAGCTTCAGACATTAAACCTTCTTTTTGCTGAAAATAAAACATAACAAATTATTATTTTAATTTTATGTATATAACAGTTAAAAAATAATTACACATGTTAACACATGTTTTAAAGACAATTTGAAAAGAGGTGCAGGTTATGTGGCTGGTGGTTTATACTCCAGTTTTAAATTGCAATTACAATATTGTACCTATGGATCAATAGCTGTTCCATAGTTACAGAGAATACAGTGGGGTGAGTTTGGGTTATGGAAATGTTTAATTTCTATTTTAGTAATTTTTTGTGGATGCTGTCACAGAATAAAATCACAAAAATGCAGTAATAATGACTAAATTACTACTAGTATACATCTTTTAAATATACAGTATATATATTTTTCTTATTTATAAACTAATCAATTTGTGGAAATCTATAAGTAAGCTGTCTTAAGATGACTTATTTAACAATAGTTTTCTACAATTCATAGTCTAATTTTCCATGGGTACTAGTTACAATTTTCATCATAAATCAAGACTCCATGTTCTGAAATAAAGTTTGAATTATATAATACCATGTAGGAAAGGCCAGCATAAAATATAGCAGTTAAGTATAAAAATTCATAAAACATAATATGGTATATATACCATTTATAAAAATAGAACACCATAAAGTGGACAAGATCTACTGTATTTAATTTTATTATTATTCAAGTTAGTATAAATTATAGTAACTCATCCTCCGAGCCATCCCATGCGAGCAGCACATCATCCACATACCACAGATATAGAAGGGGGTAATGTATACAAAGTGAGGATCAAAACACTTTGAATTCTATGGCTCTAATAACTAACACAGCTAAGATAGTTGAAAGAGATGAGGCACTCCCTGTTTCTGTAAATAAAAACTACCGTTGAAACAAAAACAGTTATTTTCAGTAACTAATAAAAGAGTTTCCCTTAAGCCCAGTGTCTGCAGTATGGAGTACCATTCTCAATCAACAGAGTGATTGTAAGTACGACTACCTCAAAATGGGGAAGAGACGGGTATAATGAGACCACATATATTTTGTAAAAACAGTAAGAGTGCCTAATGTCCCTCTAGTGCCAAATTCATTTGTAATTCGTAATTATTATTTTCAAAATATAGCCTGATTATTTATGGTAGTTGTGGGTGTCTATTTGTTCAGTTGATGTTTATATGAAAATAAATCACCCTAACAGCTTCTGTGTCTGTCTACTGGGACACAGTGGTGTCATCATCAAAGAGGTGTCAATCCTAAGGTCACACATGTATGAAAGTGATTGAGAAAGTTTAAATTAAATAAAACTTTTTGAATCTAAACATATCATTGTATTTGTAAAGTAACTTATTTTATTGGCATTAAGAGAAGAACACCATATTTGTGTGATTGATTTGAACCCCATCTCATCTCTCTAAGGTCCCATTTGTAATAATATTTAGATTAGCAATGAATCTGAATTTTTGATGGAGACTTTAGCTGCAATGATAACACTGAATAAGTATTGATGTTAACCATGTAATTTTCCTAAATTTATTAAAAGAAAATAAAAATGTATTTTTTAAAATGAATAGTGCCACATATTTTATTAAGCATTAATCATTAATTTATTTTCTGCTTTGTCAATTGACGAGAGTGTCCCCCTTTAACATTTTCAGTTCTTGTCAACTTGTATTAGGAAAATCTGAGATGCCAAATACGAGGTATTCTACATGTTTAGAACTATTCTATCTTATTCTGGTTGCATTCTCTTGACAATGGAATTGCAAATAGACAAACTGTGGCACTCCAAATCTCTCTCTATCAATCTGCAATTTTGTAAACTTCACTAATGATAATGCATACATGGTGGCCATATGTGTGGTCTTGAAAACTGTGCCCCATTATTTCCATTACTATTTATATTTGACTTATGACAAGAGTCCCTGAATATAAAAAAAATACAAAACATCTAAGAAGGATTATTATTTTTTAATAATATAATACATGATTTGTATTTTGTTAATCTTTGTAGTTATGAGAAGTCAAGAGTAATGTATTGATTAATTATTATTATATTTAATTATTATTTTGAATGCATTATCATCTCTAAATTTATAATAGTAATGTAATTTATTAAATCTAATTTGATATATTTTTAAAACCCTTTAATATAGGTTTATCATGACTTCATGAAGAAAGGAGCCTGACATATTTGGATCCAGGGGTGGAGGGGGCATCAGAAATTGGAAATATCCAAATTTCAAGTAGGACTGGTCCATTTATATTCTTAGGACCCCATACCGATCCATATATTTTCCATGCTGCTTGAACAAATCTATGCTTTTGTCTGGGCCAGACCACACAGATTCTTGAGAGTCTGATCCAATTCAAACTTGAGTTTTCAAAGTGGCAGGTAGAAGCCTTAGCTACATTGCAATATAACTTCAATTTAAATTTAAATTTAAAACTATTCATTTAAGATAAAATATATTTAATTCTATTCATAATATTAGATATGATATATACATTTTACTTAATTTAAATGTTATACTGGTATAACATTTAAATGTTAATTTAAATGTTAATTTAAATGTTATACCAGTAGAAAAAGTTTAACTGTTTGTATGTTTTCAAATAAACTAGTCAAAATTAAGAGCATATATAAAATTACAACCTTATAAAACTCCTTAAGAGTTTTATAAGGTTGTAATAAGTAATATGTTTTCACCAATAATTTCATATCCATTTGTAATTAGATAGAAATAATAAATCCATACATACTGCTTCTAAAGGTTCTAATTCTTGTTTTAATAGTTCCAGTTCACATAAAAGTTTTCTTTCCCTCTCCAACTGAAATTGGTCCACATGAAGTACTTCATATAATCTAGCTACTTGAGATTTAACATCCCATAATGTTTGCATTTCTTCTGAAGTTAACTTCCCTAAAAATAAGAAAAATAAAACTCTTAAATTCATTCAAAAATATTAAAATGTATACAACTTGAACAAATCCTAAAACCTATAATGCAGTATAATTTTCAATGTACAGTAAAATCAGAGGAAAATTATTCTTTGAAATCAAATATGATATAATGAAAACAATAGCTTTCATTATATCTCACTTATACACTACTAATACTGTATATCATATATGTAGGGTTGTTGCCATCACTTACATTCATGGCAACAATTTTTGTGCAGGCAAAAATACATTGTTATACAAACATTTCAAAATACACATATGAAAAGACACAGTGTACTCTACGAATACTGTCTATTAGATGGATTTACTTGAGAAGTGTTGTAGACAAGGGAAAAAAGCAAAAAACAGAACTGGAACAATGAGTGTCAAAAAATGGTTTCAAACATTTACGAGGCACCTGTTGTTTATCGGATTATGTTAACAGCTGCATTAACATATGAAAATTAGCAATCTAAAGTGGTGATTGATCAATTACTCACTAATGGAATTTTATTGCAATAGAAAAGTTGAGATGAGGTCACTGGAAGCAACAGCATTCTTTCACCAGAGAATGATTTCAAAACTATTCTGTTGATGTCATTGGCATTGTAATGCAGAGGACACCACAGTGTAACCTCTAACCTATATATTTTCGGATGGAGATGAGGAGAGTCACTTTTTCACTCTTTTCTTTTGTGAGATGATTGTCTATAGCAGTGGCGTGCCATGACATTTGATGATAGGGAAGCTGTGTTTCCATGAAAGTTTTAAACAAATAATGGAAATGACAAAAATAAACAGTTTATTTATTTTAATTCTAAAATAGATAATTGACACAAAACAAAGACATAAGAACTTATTTTTATTATTTTTGATAAACTAACTCTATTTGGAAATATTTCCCCACAAAGTTGTTAATTACTTTATCATAAAAATCGCTTGTCGTCAATTCAGTCAAAGTATTTAAATGCTCTTTTTCTATTGAAAGCAATGCTGAGGATGACAATTTTTCCTCCGACTGAGTGTTCCTTGCAGATGTATTGATTCGCTTCATGGGTGAAAAACTGCACTCAACAGATGCACTGGTAGACGGTACCATAAAAATTAATGATATTAAATCATATAATTCTTTTAGTATGTTTTTGTTCAGATTGTCATTAATTATATTATTTTTTATATCTAAGAGTGACTTGCCAATATAGTTTGGACATGAATACATGAATATAAATATTGCAATTCACTACATTATTTAGATAAATGAAAAAAATTCTCCATAAAATTTACTTAATTTAAAAAATTAAAACTTGCTTCAGAAAATTGTTTTTCATAATATCTAAAAGTGATAAAAATTCTAAAGATTTTATTTTTGAAAATCAGTCAATATAATTATAATTAAATATAGCTTTTGTAAAGAAATGTACATAAAAATAATATTGAATATTCTTTACTTTTTATCTTAATCTTAAAACAATGCACTTAGTCAAATAGCTCCCTAAGAGAGGCTAATAGATAGAATCGTTGGGAGCATTATACGATATTTTGGTATGTAGCATCTATGAACTAAACCATCAGAGGTTGGTGCTCTGTAAAGAAAGAGCATGCGCAAATATCCATAATCTGGCTGCTTTACATGATTCAAATATTTTTGCCATGGAAGATATCCCATATTTGACAGTACAGAGCTTCCATTGGGAATATGCATATATGAATTTATATTTGCATCTTATCATTGCAATCTTATCATTGTTTTTCACATGTATATAAATTTGCAATAAAATACATAATGCAGTTATAATAAAATATTAATTTTAAGTAATTCAAAATACATTACAATATGAAAATAACTGCAAATATGTATTTATATTTTAGAAAATACAAGGGAAGCGGTGCTTCCACAGCTTCCTCGGACAGCACGCCACTGGTCTATAGCAACATCATCTCTGTCCTGTATCTTGTCAGTTCCTCTGTAGATATTGCATGGTTGGTTAAAATAAAAGTCAAATTATTGTCTAGACTGTTGTCTTACTACAACCTTACCATTGGAACAAAGCCACACAGATACATGGTCAGGGTTGACACTGAATAGCTCAACAAGATAGGACAAATTTACATTATCCAGTTTCATGTTGACACATACTACATTACAGGTACCTTGATGCCATAACATATATTCCACCATGGTTCCATGCAAATGAAAACTGTCATTTAGATTACAATCAAAATTTTATATCAAAAAGTTATTTTTTCCTCCAAAAAATTTATTTTTGTTCACAAAATACAGATTGTGTTCTGTTGCGAAATATTTCACTACACAGTTTCCTATCACATGCTGCATAAATAACATCTAATTAAAGTAAGTATTTAAATAATATGCCATGCTCTGTTCCCAAGTTTTTAAGCATAGTAAAGTATTGCATTTAAACAGTTTATGGTAGGGTTCAAGACTTTCATTGGATGCCTCAAATGCATAATCTACCATTGCTGATTGTAATACCTACGAATATCACGAAATACTATAATATAAACCCTATGAATGTTAAAGCTTTATTATATATAGTCCAGTATATGTCTGTCGTCTTCAACAATTAAAATAGTGACTAATGGTCTTTTGCTCAACTACAAAGTAATAAAAAATTCATCATTCAATTTCTCATTCACTGTTACGTATGTAAATAATAAATGATATGATAAAAAAGTGATAAAATGAAGATGTAAGAAACAGAGACAGATAATCAAAAATCATTGAGTCAAGCAATATCTAAACTGATACAAAACAGGAGAGAAGTAAAAGGAAAAAAGGAGGAGGAAGAGAAGAAAAAAAGTTTCTTCTTCACTTGCATATTGGCTCACATCTGCATAATTTCAGTCTTTAGTAGATAATATTGATAATATAACATTTAACATTAATGTAATTCACTAAATACCATATTATATTTATTTATTATTCATGTTTATGTTAAGTTTTAAATTTTTTAAATCTTTACCTGTAGATGACAATTTCAACAAGTTTAAATTGCCATCTGTAGATAAGATTTAATTTTTTCTTATTCTATACTGTCAAAAAGACAGTGTTTTATTTCATTTAATGACTCACTACATACAGTAATGTTAAAAAACAAGTTTTTAAATTAAAATAAATATTAAAAATAAATCAAGATTTAATTAAATCATACTTTACCAGCTTCTGGTGGGCTTACATAGTATACTATGTCATTAACAATGAGATGAAAATCGCTCTGCATAATTGACTCAATACTTGTAGATGAGGCTATTCTTATTCCATCTGTCAAATATAAAATTTTATGATTTTATAAATATGTTATCATCATCATCATCAAATTTATTTCATAATTTTCTAGATTCTTAAAACATAAAAATTAATTAATTTAATACTGTAATTAAAAAATAATCATTTACGATGACAGAATAGAAGCATGATCTCTTATCAACATTATTTTTTGTTTTGTTTTGTTTATTTTGGTACTTTTGGTACTTAAATCTGAGTAGTTTTTTACAATTTCTTAATTTAATATTAAAACTATATCAACAGTTATTGATCAAATTTTAAATATAATGCAATTTTGTATGTATATAACTGTGGCATATAACTGTCATACCCTACAAAAAATTGCTAGAACAAAAATAAAACCACACTAAAGCTGAGACTCCACTAGTGTAAAAACACTCGGTGTAAATATTTTTAATCGCGTGACCGTGATATTTTATGCCCGAGAAAGACATAAAACGAGCATAAAGTGAGTTGAGAGTGGGTAACTTTTGACATGAATACATCCGTAAAACAGTACAAATATCATCAACTGATCAGAAATCAGCAGACATCTATGTCATGCACGTTTGCTGTATTCTATCTCTTGCTCTCGCCATCTTCATGCTTGTGAAGTTTTTTGACTAGTTTTAACATTAGAATGGCTATTACAAAAAATAGCATAGAATAGACATGGAAAGATTTATTAAAAACATCAGAAAATTTCTTCGTATCTATGAATAGAGGCAGTGGAGCTAGACTTTTGTGAGGTTCCAAAAAAAATGTGTTGAAATTAAACATTTATTGTAGTAATTGGTAAAACGAAACTAGAAAAATCGTTCACTGTTAAAAACCAATCAAAGATCGGATTAGTTGTAATGGTCATATGAAACCGTGATGAGAAAGAAAAAAAAATGCTAGTGATGTAAACAGAAAGAATTATTATAAATAATGAATAGAGGCAGTGGAGCTAGACTTTTGTGAGGTTCCAAAAAAAATGTGTTGAAATTAAACATTTATTGTAGTAATTGGTAAAACGAAACTAGAAAAATCGTTCACTGTTAAAAACCAATCAAAGATCGGATTAGTTGTAATGGTCATATGAAACCGTGATGAGAAAGAAAAAAAAATGCTAGTGATGTAAACAGAAAGAATTATTATAAATAATTAATAATTGTAAACGAACATCCTACAGTAGAGATGGACCTTTGACGAGGCACTCGTATATCAATAATTAGAACATGCAAATTTTGGAAAGAGGAAAGGTTAGTGATGAAAAGGGACATCACATCAAGTCGTTAAATTTCAAAAACGCCACAGACTAGACAACAATGGGGAAAATATGAGTGCAAGTTTCAAAGTTCCATCAACACTTCCAACCGGAGTTAACGGATGGTGTCAAGTAGATTCTTTGAAGTGGCTCTTTCTCGTGACTCGAACAGGAGTCGTCTTTCACTCAGGGACAGTTGAGGGACCAATTGGGGAGCAAGAAAAAGAGACATGGAGCCAATCAGAATAAACAAATCGAAGAATGGAGATTGATGTAATCCCTGATCGAAAAGGACTTGGCAAGAAGCACTTGGTGAGTCAAAACAAAAGTGTGTGAAATTCGGAAGCGCTGTGTCAACAAACTGGGGACGAATCTTTTTTGTCTTGGTGCCAATACTGAAGCCATGCTGTTGCTGACGTCAACCAACAGAGACTCACAAACCATGTAACAACACTGCCCCGGAGCCACCTATACAACAAACAACTAAAGGAGCATCGACACTATCGACTTCCAAGCAGCCTATTGTATCTAGACAATATTTGTTCTTTAGTGTAAGTTTACTTTTATGTTTAAAATAAATGGGTTTTTGTGAGATTCTTGTCATCTGTGTCTCCTCCACCACATTCACATGCAAATGACCCTAGATCATCCTGTCATGGGAGTCACGATTCCTCCTAGAAGTCGGCAAACTCACACTTCCATTGCAATCCAAGTGCAAATGCAAATAGGTCATATGATTAAGAATAATTATGGAGAGAGTTTTTATGCTTGTTTTTGTGCTAGTGGAGTCTTAGCCCAACCCACACTATCATATACCCTGCACCACTGAATTTGAAATAGAAATATGAAGATTAATTGTTCTTGGTAAATTAAACGTGGTAATATTATTTGTTAAAGAACATCTGTTCCATAGAACAATACTGGTGAAAGCTTAAGCTTCCAGTAGGATCACCCATGATAATAAGATCTATGGAGAAAAATGAAGCCATAAGTGACCTGCAAGCAGTGTCTGACTCATGCATTGAAAACATGACACTTAATTGGTATATCGTTAAGAAGATATTGACTCAAACATTATATTTTAACTCATGTTTCTTTCATTTTATTTCAAAATTTATTGTAGATATAATTATAAAATAAATGAAATGGAAAAAATAGAATATTTGAGATGGAACTGTCTAAACTGCATTAAATATCAAAATACAAATTGGCTGCCAAACAACAAAATACTTTATCATTTTGTTTCACATCTGTTTTCTTTAGCAAATAACATTACCATAATAAAACATAAAATAATAATAATCATAATAACAATTATCTCACTAGCCATAAACCTTGTTAAGATAAAAAAAATAGTAATTCCATAGAGCAATAATGGTAGAAGCATAAACTTCCAGTAGGATCACCCATGTTAATAAGAAAAATTAAGCTACAAGTGATCTACAAGCAGTGTCTGACCCACAATAAGCAGACACTGCAGTATCTACTGTGCCCATTGGCAAGCCTGTTTCAATTTTTGTGATGGTGTAGTAAATATGAATGATGAATTCATTCATTTTTTATAACCATTTCATCAATTGACAAGAATTTCCAGCCTCGGTAGTTAGTAGCTAGGTTAGGGAGTGTTATCCATTGTATGTGAATGGTAATCTTTTGACCTTCAAGGCTGAAAATTCATGCCAATGGATGAAATTGTTACAAGAAATGAATGAATTCATCATCCATACTTACTACACCACCACATAACTTGAAACAGACAACAATATGATAAATTCATACATATAAAACATCTATTTCTCACTGTCATTAAACAAACAGTTATTGATCTGAAAAGAATTACACACAACAACATTATTCAACAAATAACACTTGAACATATAAAGCAACAAGTTGCAGAAGAAATACATTAACAGAAATACTTAGTAGATCAAGTTGAAGTTTGGAACACAGTGACAATATACCACACAACAGTTACTAATTAAAACCTTTTCAGAATATAAACTGCTAATGTTCTGCACATATAAATACAATGATTATAGCAATGACACTATAGATCCACAAGAAATTAACACATACATTTATTCTAAGAAACATTCATTATATATACCAGATTTAGATCTCATACAGAGACAACAAATATCCAAACACATGAAAACAATCAGGGAAACCTTACACTATTTACATAGGTGTGTACTATCAAAATACATTCAATTAGATTCAACATTTTCAGACACATAAATTAGTTTATTCTAGTGAAGTCATTGCACCAGAATAAACTAATGTATGTTTAAATACTATGGCCTTAAACTACAATCACAAGCAGACAGCATTCAAAACATAAGAATCATAAACCTGTCTGGCAAAAAAGACTACAAAAGCAGATAAATCATGAAAGTCTAATGTTAATGTTATTATTATTACAAAAATAAATATCATTAGACAACAATTATGCAGGCTGTCAGTTATAATACACTATAAAGAACATAACACAAAACTTAATGAAAGAGTTTAAAAAAAGCATTCAAGAGTATAAAAAAAAAACAAATGAACACTATACACACACAGAATGATACATTGATACCCATAAACAAAAACTTGAAACCAATCACAAAGAACTCAAGCAATAAAAAACCTGTACACTATGAAAACAACAAAATAAATTATTAACAAACAACCACAGCACAATGATACACCAATAGAAAAAGAACTCACAGATTATTGATCTGCTATTTGGTCCAATTCAATCACACAAAGATGAAGCTAGCTGGATTAAGGAGAAAGAACAAAACATGAATGAGATACTGATTATGCCCTGTGCTAAAATAAATGCAATAAAGAAAACACAGTTGGAAGACACCTAGTATAGATGACATTCACAAATTCTGATTCAAAACATTTACATCATAACTAGAAACTAGCTAAATATTTTACGCACACAATCAACAATACACAAGACACCGTAACTTCTTATACAGAGGCATTACATACATGAAACCCAAAACTGACAACATTGAACATCCTACACAAAGGGTCGGCAAACTTGACACACGAAACGAGTTTCAGTGGCACTCTGATTGAATAGAAATGTAGTAAAAGTTATATTTTAATTATTAATTATACATTTAAACGGAAACCATAGTTTAGTATATATCATGGTACATTCAAAACAATCTCTTGCTTGTATATTTATATTACAACACATGCATGCTCCATATTGCCATCTAAATGTTGTGCATGTGCATCACATGTAAGAATATAATTCAATTAACTTCAAAATTATATATGTTTGAAGTCCATTATAATTGAACCAATTTTGATAGTAAATGTAACGAAATTGGTAAAATCATTTAGGCACCCGGAACAACATTATAACTTAGATTTGGCACAACGTCGCTGAAAGGCTGCCGACCCCTGCCCTACACAATACACGTCAATCACATGCCTTCCGAAACTACAAAATACTCATTCATTACAATACGAGAAAATGATATCAGTATGTTGAACAACACAACATTTTCACAGAACAACAAAAGGTTGCTAAAGAAACCACATTAGATATAAATAACAGCTATTCACAAAATGAATTATTTTACTACCAGAAAACAAACAACACAAAAGTCTATAGATGGCATATATTGATACATATTATAGAAAAGCATTCAACAGCATTAACAACATTCCACATTCAAAACTATTAAACATAAGGTGAGGTATTTTCCAGGGAGATTCATTAAGTAGGTTATATGAT